AGGCCTCTATGTTTCTTCTCGTCCTCCTCCTGCATCATAAGCTCCATATGAGCTGCAGCATCCACTAAATGTCTATACTCTCGAATGTAAGACCCACCAACCCTTAACTTGAGGCCCCTCCTCAACTTCCGCTCAAACTCATAGCAACGGCGTTCTTCGGACGCCACCAACTTAGGTGCAAACCTGGACAAACTAGTAAAAGTGGCCTCAAACTCTGCCACAGACATACCCTGCTTATTAAGCTGGCTAAACTGATCCTCAGCTTCTCTCTAGCCACTGCAGATAAGAACCTCTCCTGGAAAGCATTTACAAACGCTCTCCACGTACCACGAACACGAGCCTTCTCGTACTTCCACCATTGACCCGCATCTCCTTTCAGCTGGAAGGATGCCAAGGTCACTTTCAGTGCGCCCGTCCTCGATGCCAAGCATCTCGAACGTCTTGCTCATTTGTTCCAACCACTTGTCAGCCTTCAATGGCTCCTTTGGATCCCCAATAAACTCATCCGGGTTAGACCGGAAGAACTCTCTCTTCAAGAAAGAAGGCCCTGCCTCAACTGCCTGATTCCAGCTCTGAGAATACCCATGGCTCCTGCTATCTCTCGTGCCAAGGCACTCATAGCCTGTTGACCCGCTGGCTCGGCCACATTGGCTTGACCAACTCCCTCCTGCACTGCCGGAACCTCCTCCGGTAAAGGCATCTCCTGCCTGCCACGCCTACCGCGTCCTCGTCCGACATCCTAATAACGGTAACTCAGAACATTAGCACATTCATAAATGTGCTGAAACTAAACACTCACGTCCTAATGCACGGACAACTGTAATTCATTCCACGTAAGCACATAAACACATAAGCACTTACGAATTTCATTTCTGGATAATGATAGTCCCAAGGCGTTACTAGAGTTCAGGTTACAAACAGCATTGATCAAGTGCCTTTCCAACAAGACTCACAGAAACTCAAGGATCCAATCAAACATCCTAAAACCAAATCCCATACCACATAGTCACATAAGCATGGTATCAATTAAGCACATAGCATATGACACTACATCTAAGTCTCTATCAAGCGAGACAAACCCATTGTGATCCTATCACTTCCCACGTACCCAAAGTATTCGAACCCGGTACGCTTTGATACCAAGTTATAACGCCCTCCAAATAATAACATTAAACCCATCAATATGACATGCATTGAATATTAAAAGCTCCACATTCTTCTATTCATCAGAGTTTCATTACCAAAAAGTATTACATGTTAACGACAAAAGCAAATGCCCTAAAGGCTTACAGCTTTCCAAGTTAACACTTGGTTACAATAAAAGAGTGTTAACTCATTTACACATTAAGCCCTTGGCTTGAATATACATGTAATACATCAAAGAAACTACAACAAAAAGTCTGCCCGCCTCTAGCCTCCCAAGCTACATCATTGGAGGTGGCATGCTACCTGTACCTAAAAATGATATTCCCATACAGGGTGAGCCACAAGCCTAGTAGAAATACACTAAACCAAATATGAACAATGACTAAAAGATTAGCAGTTGATAGATGACCAACACTGATACTTCCCTTATCACACTTTACGGTTTCATGACATATAAGTCCATTTACAATTCATTTTCCAATTTTTTTCAATTCCCAATTTATAATCATGGCTCAGAACCTGGCCAAACAACTTACATGAGACAATAACTCATATTAAACTTCTTCCCAATTCATATTAGATAAGCGTACTAGCTATATCAACACATCAACAAATAAGCATATAAGCTATATCATCACTTTCATAGATATGCATAAGAGCACCATCACACTTCTAAAGACAAGCATATGAGCTATGTCAACACATTACTAGATAAGCATATGAGCTCTATCTATGAAATCCATCCCCTATCTTCTCCCAACAACATCCGGTTTAGAGGTCCATCCCCTATCATCCCCTAAACCGTGGAGTACATCCCATATCTCCTCCAACACGACACAATGCATATTAAACAATAATTATACACATCATCACACCACACATAAATTTAATGTGTTCTTTCAACCGTCATACTCAATGACACATTCCAGTGATTAGTTTCAGTTTGCCTAATCATCATGCATTATCTACAACAATCAAGACTATCCTCCACCGATAGCCCAAAGCAGCTATTTCTATACAAAAATAAATACAACAATGGATATATAATCAACATTTCAACCAGGCGAGTGATAAATAATCCAACTACACCCTTTAATTCCATACATTTCCAAATCAATTTCTCATTCCTCATAATTAATTATGCGAATTAAATTAACCAATGTAATTAGGGCATTTTCCATAATTAACATTACAATCCTTAGGTTCCATTTTCATTAATGTTTTAACATTAATTTCACTTTTCCATGCCAAACATGCATCTAGGTTTTATATAGCTAAAACCCCAACTTTTGTAAATTTACACAAAAGTCCCAAACTTTCACAACATTACAACCCAACCCCAACATCTCAAAATGCTAAAATTTTAAAGACAAAACCCATAGTGAGGAGTAGGTTATCCCTACCTCAAAAGATGACTCCCAACCAAGAAGGTGAAGAGAACGAAAATGCTCCAAACCACGAATTTCTCGGATCAAAAAGAAGCCCTCGACGATCAACAACCTTTAATAAAGGCCAAACGTGAGGAAATCACTTCTACTAGATCAATACCTAGAGAAAAGGTAGAGTTCTAGAGTGAGAAGCTCAACAATGGGGTTTTTGGAATAAGAGAGAGAAGAAAAGTGAAAAAGTGATTTAAAAAGACCCAGCAGGTAACTCATATACGCATGACCCGCTCGAGCGTAGAATAGAGCGCTCGAGCGTAAAGCGCAAACATCTGGTCCCGTTCGAGCGCATAGATAACCGCTCGAGCGCCAAGAAAGAAAAGCAAAAACACATCCGCTCGAGCGTGAAAACCAGTCCGCTCGAGCGCAGATTTTCAACTCAGAACTTTACCGAAAAGGACCACCCGCTCGAGCTCCAACAATACCGCTCGAGCGCGACCCGCTCGAGCGCAAGAAACCTGCTCGAGCGGAACGCCTAAAAACTGGACAACAAAGAATTGAAACCAAGGCCTAACCAACCTGTAACAACCTTGCCCAAAACATCCTAAAACTCACACAAATGGAATTAAAGGACGACAACCAGATAGATACAACTACCAACTTCACGGAACCGAGTCCGGAATACAACAGAACAGTAAAGGGACAACCGGGATCGCTATAGCTTCCCAACCACCTGAAACATTATTAATTTTTTTTTTACATTTCTGGCCTTCCCAACCTATGATGGCACCATGTTTAGAAGACATGTGTCACACAAAGACTTCTTGCTAGAAATGTGGAGTTGCAAAAGTCATGCTTACACCCGTTTTTGAAGAATGGAACAGTTTTTGGCAGTTGTGAAACTAGGCCTGTAAATGCTGGAAATAAAGAGTAGTTGGAGTTAATTTTCAGGAGTAGTTGCCTGTGATTATGAACTTAGTCTGTAATTTGTTCTTTGTTATTGTATTTAGTGACAATTAATACAAGTTTTAGTATGTTGCTTTTCATCATTGTACTCCAGAGAAGTCTATGAATCAGTCAAGGCATAAGCCTCAACCATATTGCTTGATTTTTATTTGTGTTTTGTGAGGTTTTGGTTCCGAGTCTGTCGATTGACTTCTATCGATCACATCCAAACTAGAATTTTACTAACAGAAATCATCAAATGCAAACAAGCAAGTCTATATTAAAATTTGACAACTGAAAAATGAAATTAATCAAACCATTGCAATCTTCTGAATCTTAATAGTCAGTAGTAATAAACACAGCATTATATTAGATATAGACCAAGCAGTCAAATAATCTTACAAAGAGGCATTTTAAAAACTAGCACAACATTTAACCATCTACAAATGGTAGCTGCTTAAAATTTCAAGATACATCAATGAGGAAACTTGAAGGATCACAGTGGAAACAGACAGAGTACTTAGAAATACCATAAGGAAAAGAAAGTTATTTACTAGGAAGGAACTACCATAATAATAAAATAAAAGCACACATAACAACCCAGAAAGAACTTAGCAAACACTCCATAATAGTATGGGTCATAAGGAATGCATACAATAGAATTTTCAGACCCTAATAGTAGTAATCATCATCCATCACTGTCATCGTAGCCACAACCATAGTCAGAGTCCGAATCATATTGGTGCTGGTGCTCTTGCCATAGTTGACATCTCGAACCCTGTGCTCATGTGGTACTCAGTGTAACCAGTTTTGTCACCAACCCTGATGGTTGAGCTCTTCTTGAACTCGTCCTTGACGCCAACTTGTCCGGTTCCTTTCTCCACATAAAGATCACCCTTGGAGGCCTTTTCCTTTGTGGTATATCGCTCGTAACTGCCACTCTTCTTGTCCTCGTGCTTCACCCTTGAAGTCCATCATAGGTCTTGTGATCCATCTACGAGTGGATTTTTCTATCTTCCTCATAACAACCTCATTACTTGCAGCAGGTGTAGGTACATTTGTTTCTTTTCCGGAAAAGACGGATGGAATTAGCTGCTGTGAACCTATGTGCTTTCCCTTCTCCATTCTGAAAAATTAACCAATTTTAGGAAACACCAAAATTATTTTGACATTCTAGGAAACTATTTTCGCGTGTAAATGAGAAGGATATGAAAAATAACTGATGTTTTCAAAACTATTCAACTTTGTTTCTGTAAACAGCAAAAATGAAAACAAATACTGGAAAAAACCAAACCACAATCAAACAGCCTAACCACCTAATCCTCAAGTTACAACTCCAGCTTTGCATTGAATTAGCTCATTCTTTAATGGGTTTATTTGAAAAAGACAAAAGGAGAAAAATAATGCACCCTCCTTTGGTAACGTTTTTTTTTTTTTTTTTTTTTAATTTATTTATGGAAAAATGTTATATATAATCATATTCTTTCTCATTTTTTTTTACTACATGGCATTAATGAGTCTCATGCATTTTCCTATTTAGTTGTGTTATTTTCATTTTTAGGAAATGCATAAAACTTGTTTAGCAAAATATTTTCGAAACAATTTGTCGAAACTATCTAAAAACAAACCAAACCACTAAATTTTTTCTTTTCTCAATTCAAAAACTGTTCTCACAATATAAAAATGATGGGTGTTTTAAATTTTAATTATTTATTTATTTTTCTCAACCTGAAAACACAAAAAAGGAAAGCAAAAAATAACCAAATAGGCCATGTTTTGATTCATTCTTCCCTTTCTACCCTCCAGCCACTCCCTTCCTTCGACTATACCTTCCGCCAAACCCCCCGGACAACAATTCACTAAACATGTTTTCTTATTTTTGAAAACCTGTGTCCCCTTATATTGTTTTCTTTGTTTTTGCAAAAACACTTGACTTCAAGGCTTTGGAATTAGTCGAGGTGTGCAAGCTGATCCGAACAACAGTGATTAAAAAAAAAAAAAAACCAGAAAGAGGCTAATATAAGTTTGCACTTTGCAGTAGTGTAGTGTGATTAACAAAAAGGAGGGATGCTTCAACAAAGAAACAGAGAAAATCATGAATATTATAACTATAAATGTAGTACCACTTAAACCCAAAAATCTCAACATTAATGCCAATAACAAGCTCACTCTCTTAGATAAATCATAAAAAAGCAGCAAAGATTGATCAGATCTATCGATTTCAAAGAACTTCACATGACCAAAAGAATATCATATAGAACATTTTTTTCTAACCACAAAAAAAAAAAAAAAAATAAATAAATAAATAAATAAATAAAATTTAATGTAATAAAACTAGAGTACATATAGATCCAATGAACATTTGGTTGCAAACACACAATAATTGTATAACAAAAATAAGATAATCTTACGCACCTTTGTTTTAGAGAGAGAGGAGAGAGAGAGAGTGTGTGCGTTTTAGTGTGATTCAGAGGTGTTTCACTGGAAGCTAGCAAGAGTAGAAGCTTTAAATTCTTTTTTGGAATAATTTTTTTTTATTGGTTTATTTTTGTTTTTAGTGATTTTTCTTATAAATTATGTCAAATTTATTTACTTTCTAGATCTGTCATGACAAAACGATCCTATAAATTTAAAGCTTATCTTTTTATAAACATTTTAGAAAAGACAAATATTAGCTTAATTTTGTAAGATTTTAAATTTTTTTTTTTGGGATAAAATTTGAATGTCTTCTATATATATTTTTAAAATTATTTATTTTATTTATTTATTTATTGGTAGAATCAAGTTGAGACGAAGTTAAAAGTAAAAAAAATTTGACTCAAAATTAATAACATTACTGTTTGAGCCTCAAAGTTATACTCACTTTTCAAATTCAATGATATGACAATTAATTAAAATATTCTAAACTAACTTTCTATCTCATATCTTTTCTAATTATAGTCAATTATCTCTATTACACATCATTAAATTAGAAAGTAAGTCTAAAAAGTGAGATTGTATATAATGTTTGATGTCATGAAATCATTGTTAATATAAATATACCTCTATTGGTAAGCATAGTGATATGTCATGCAAACCACCCAAGCCTTCCAAAGGTTGATCTTATAGTTTCGATACCGTGTCAATACAATTGTATGAAGAGATAAGCAAGAGGTAAGAGAAATCTGTGTATTATTGATTATAATGAAATATAAGCACAACAAACCTTATATAGTGTAAAACAAGTCTTTAATAAGCAAAAAATCCTCAACAAAGAAGAAATATAATATAAATAATAATTATAATCATAATAAGGTTGATGCCATGAATTACTTCATTATATACTTTAACATATATCATCTTCCACTTAACAAAAGTTCCAAAAAGACAAATAAGTGGAACTCAACTATTATATACCACATTGTTTTTCAATTTTTAAAAGTAGAACTTTTGAATGCATAATAGTTACAATCTTAATATAATTTTCATATTTTCAAAATGTAATGTACTTATTTCTACACGTTTATATACTTTTGCACATATATTGAGGCTAATGACAAAATGAGCTATCAATTGGCATTATCCTTTTAAAATAGCTAAAATATGTGATTGAATAAAATATTTTTCCTTAATATTATTGTGAACGTATCTTAAATAAAGGGAAATATAATAAATCTCATTTTCATATCATAATAAAGCAATAAGTAGTCCAAATAATTTAATAAATCCAATAGTTCTATTTGTGTAGAAATGATAGTATAACTCCAGTTTTTCACCGTAGATGGTAGTTAATACCCATAAATGACTAAAATGTTCATAGTTTAAATTACACATTTGTCCAAACTTACTAAGGATTTTTTATGCTCACTTTGAAATATTTGAATAATCTCACATTTCAAGTCATTCCAAATAAAAAAAAAATTCATATCAGAATCCACCACAAATTTGAATACACCCACCCCACCCCAAAAAGATTTTCATATTAGAAGATTTTAACTTGGAGCTCAGCTTTTTTGCGCCCTCTTTCGGAAGCTCGAAAGAAGCCGTACAGTTCGAACTCCCACGGTTCTGAATCTAATCTCACAAGTGCAATGAGAATTGTAAACACTAAAAGAGTCCAAATCCGACAAATCTTTTGAAAAATTGATTTTGAATCAAATTGCCAAAAAATGGACTGCTTTGCCAAATACAGAGTCGTCACCTAAATATTTTATTTGAAAAAATTTAAAAAACCCATGACTCATGCCAAGGCCACGTGTCCATTATCACCAGAGTTGCCTCGGCTCGGGAACTTAGGTATGAGAAGGAATGTCATGAATTGAGCACCCTCGCTCGCCCAATCAAAGATCGGCCTTTACTAATTATGATATGATTTTTTTATAAACATTATTTGCTCTTGTTTCGGTTATTAGGCTAGCTTTATTATGTGATGTGCACAAGTAAGTACAAACTAGTTTGTCGAGTGGAATAGTTTCAATTTCATGTGTGTTTTGGAAAAAGGTTTGATTTTGCACCTTAAGTGGGCTTAAAAAAAAAGTACATTCGCTGAATTATTCCAATTCAAGCAACAAGTCTTCATCCACAGGCATTCAAGCAGTTTAGCAAGTAAGTATTTAGGCCTCATGGCAAACATGTTAATCATGGTAATCACTCACCATCATTTAAGTATGCTAAAGCACTTAAACTCACATAGTACTCCGAGCTAAGATAAAACAAAAGAGTTAGAAAAATATGCATGATTCCTAACTATGCCAAATGTCTATCAATTACATTCAATAATGCAATTACTAGGCTCAGCTACTAATATGACATATGAAAGCAATTCGATAACATGCGGTCTAAACACGTATTCAAAGAAGGTATTGAAATGACAATGTAGTTTGAATGATGGACGAGAATCGATGCATGCAATACGAAGAATAGATGCAAGCATGAGGTATGCTAATTGAACATGTCCCTAATCTAACCATCAAAGCGGATAAATAAAAGGGAGAAAGACGTGGGGTTGTAAAACATACACATTATTACATTACGCTCTCACGAAGGAGAAGTCCGAATGAATAAAAGCTAATTAGCTAGCTAAACTAAGCTAATTAAGCTAATTATTACAAAACCGAATAAATAGCCTAAACTAATTTTAACTAATTATTACAACACTTGGACTAATTAGTTCACTAACTAATTGAATAATTACAACACAAATTAATTAGCTACAACTAACTAATTAAAAGAGTACAACACAAACTAATTAAATTACAAAATAGGCTAATTAAATTAAACTAATTAACTAGCTAACTCGTCTCGAGAAGCGAGGGAGGCCATGCATGCTCGGTTTTCACTCGAAAGAACATCCGCTGTTTGCCCTTGAAAGCCTATGTTTGCACAACCTTTGACACTATTTCCTTCTCTAGATCAACTCTATGCCATGCTCATAAGCACACTGCTCAACACTGATGGCTTGCCGGCCATGCAACTGATGACACACATTTCCTTACTGCAACAGAGAGAAAATAAGGCAAAGAGAGGGTATTCGCACAGTTGTTTGTACTATGTACCCTTTCTTATCATCAAAACAATCTCAAAGGAGTGATACACTTGGGTTCCAAAACCACCAATCAAGCAATTTCATTGCATGATGGCCAAAGAACCAAGATGTACAAATTAATGAATGCACGAACAAGACTCAACAACCATCACCCTATCATGCAAGATCAAGGGCAATGGAGACCTTGGAAAGTTGGCACATTTCATCACTTTGAGTATGAAATGCCCCAATGTTTCTGTATTCAATTAACATCCAATGAACACATGCCACACAAACAAATGCTACACAAACCAATGCTTACCTTACACAATTTTACTTGCCACTTTTATTTACTCATTTTAATTACTAACCATTACTTACTTAATTAAGTCCATTGGTGAAAGTTTTCTAAAGTGAAAGAAGTGTCAACCAAGGGGTGGTTTAAGGCATGAGAGAAGTTTTCATGCCGTTGGGTAATGAACCCTTAAAAGAGGATAAAACATTAAGCATGGATCGTAATCTCAAGCTTAAAGAATCCCAAGTTTGAAACAACCTTAAAGAAAATAAAGAGTGAAGAAATGAGGGAGATTGCCAGAGCTTTAGGTGCTGATATGAAATGCACACAAACACCAAAACATGCATATAACTCAAACAAGGGATGTCTAATAGGTCTAAACACCAAGCTTGTGAGGACCTTTACACTACAATCATGCAAAAAAAGATTAACTGACCCAAATAGCCCAAAAAGAGCTTAAAGTAGTCTGAAACAAAGGCAAAAAACTGCTTAGAATATAACTTACAAAAAAGCTAGAAAATCATTGCTAACATTATGGAGTTAACTAGGCTAGCAAACAAGACACAAGGAGAGGAGGCAACCCCTCCAATTTTTGAACTCAAACATGTTTTTTACCACTGAACAATACTCTGAAATTCATTGGTTTAAAGGTCCCAAAAAAAGGTTTGGTTTGAAGAGTGGGAAACAAAAGGTGCAAAGCCTTAGAAGCAAGGAATGAAGGAAGGGTGAGACACCCCCTAACTTAAAATGGCTAAAACACCAATTTCAAGCCCATTAAAACAAAGATACAGCTCAAAAATGGCCTCAAAATATATTGTGGGAAAAGATAGAGAAACAAGTGCCATTAAAATAAGTTTAAAAGACAAGTGTTATACCTCTTGAAGCAAGCACAACTTTAGCACAAATACAAGTCCAAACCACCTCAAGAAGCTCCAACAAGCCTTAAGGGACCTCAAGCTCAAAGGGATCCAATTTTGATTTACTTCTATTGCCAATGAGAAAAAACATTTGAAAAACAATGTTGAGGATTTAAACAAAGCTCTTGAAAATTTTGTAAAAGGAAAAGGAAAAACCTCAACAAGCTTCTTGGAATAAAATGTATTTTTGACAAGTAGGCAGTTGGTTTTGATCCTCCTAAACCTTTTATGAGATTAAATTTTCGAGGACTAATCCCTATTGGACCCAAGAAAGTATTGGTACAAGAAAGAAATCAAGATATTTTGTAGGTGGAATCTCAAAGAACACCAAGGACTTCAGAGGAAAATGCCCAGCAACAAGAGTGTTCATCTAAAAGAGCAAAATCAGCTCCTACCAAGAAGAAGGAATGATGAAATGAAAATCACCAAGATAAACAATAGAGGTAAATGTATGGGTTGAAGATTCCAAGAGGTAAATGGAAGGTATAACTCCTAACACACCTATTAAGCTTAAAGTTCTATATTCTTTAAGGTGTGTGGATTTGTGTTACAATAGGTGTGGCCTAATCATTGCTTTCCATGTAACCTAATTGTACTAAGTTTGCTAATCATACTCTGCTAGTTTCTTTCAAACATTCATTGAACTAAAAAAATGATAATTATATTATTTGATGAATGTCTATTAAAATATGAATGATTCATTGATTTATTACATTGTATATCATTGTATCCATTGCTATGAAAAAGAGATAAAAAAGTGATAAATATGTTTTGTGATATTACTTTCACACCTTATATATGACTTCATTCTAATATGTTAATTCCTTTTTGGGCATATCTTTGGTAGAAA